TGTAAGAAGTATTTATGAAAAAGACACAGAGGCGCGCATACTGGCATATTATGAAGAGGTAGATTCAACATAGTCTTATTACCTGTAGTCTCCGAATAACATCAACGGCGCCACACCTTCTTGCGCCACGCGAAACTCATGGTACAATCCCTGCTCACCCCGCTCGTTCAGATCACTTCAATGATACAGCCTCAGAATATCCTCTAGCAGACATCGCCAGCGTAATTAGGGAGTACACCACTAGAGTGAACGAACCCGGCCTCCCACTGCGGTGCGTCTTCACCAACGACAGTGCCTGCCGCACCCCCACTTACGCAGAGCGTCTGGGCCGTTTCCAACTGGCTGCCGATGAAGTCGGTAGAAGTACCGAGCCGCTGGCACAGCGAGCAGAAGAAACCCCAGCACGTGTTGAACTGGAAGAGGAGGCATGCACCAGGGGCGATCACCACTCCCTGGTCGGCGGCCAATACATTGCTTATGACAACTTCGCAGTCACTGGCCGCTGGAGGGTTGCCCTGCTTGAATGTTAGTTATTGCTGCTACTAATTATTGTTCCAGGAGTATGAGGAACCCTTTGATATGAGAAGATAAAGGGAGTTACTACGTACAGTGGTTGCGCACTCAAAGAAGTCATTAGCAGCGACAGTGTCTCTCGGCTTGCTCGAAGTATCACGGCTCTTCGACTTCTGAATGGATGTACCAGCAGGCAACTGGGTCACCTCAGTGTGGAAGTCGGCTGGGGCATCTTTGGGAACGGAAACCGCCGCGCTCAGTGCGTATGGGTGCTCAAGAACAGTGCCTGCTGAGTCCGGGACGAGAACCGAGGCTGCAGTGGAGAGGCTCGCAAACAGAGCCAGCGTTGACCAGACCTTCATTGTAGAAGATGTTTGACTAACTAGAATGTTCAGAATAGTAGGGATCTGCGTAGGAGATGTTTCCGAGTCTCGGATCGTTGGATGTGCTCTGTTGCATTGATGATGTGACAGGGCGAAATGCGTGCGTTCTTATACCCATCCCTTCTAAGCCACCGCCAGAGCTAACATGGAAACCAATGTTCAGCAGAAGCGGGAATTTCCCAGTTTCGTGACCATCTTCGGATTCTAGAACCTGTCAGATGAGATACGACTGCCGCCCTGATTTGGGCTTTCAATATTCGTGGCCCTACTGCCCAGGGCAAAGGGATATCTTACCCCCAGGGACGCCTCAATTTGCTGAAGCCTGCGGCACCCTGGTCCCATGTCTTTCCCGTACTCTTTCACGTCTCGAGCTATACCACGATCAGATGTACAAAATGATGGTACCCAATAGATACGAGATTGCTCAGCGTATTCTAAGGAACTAGCTGCAGCCGACCCGTCATTGTATCGCCATCCGGTCCCTCCTCAGGTGGTGTGTAAACGTACGAAGCTGGAAGCTGCGTTACTAGAGTTCCGATGACGGTACAAGGGTTCGTCCTTGGGCATTCGAGATCATGAGACGGCCGTTTTCAACTTCTGAATTGGGCTGGGATTTATTTGGAATGTTACATACATTGCAACGTGGTACCGGGAAGCCTCAGTTGAACGTAGGCCGTTCATTGACTCGTCACAGGTATCAACATGGATTTTATATGTAAGTCACTGCTGTTCAGAGCCGCTGTCGATCTTTACACAATTCAGCCCTAAACATATATAGCTGAGCTTTCTAGAAGCACATTTATATAAATTACATACAGCCTTATCCAGGCTGTCGGAAACCTCTATATTGCGCAATATCGTGAGTTTCGCCTCGAGATTCAGCCCATGTACGTGAGACGTGAATTCATATCGAGCAGTAATTTGGACGAGACGGTTAAAATTGATGATTATCTCAGCTCGTGATCCATCAAGGCAATTGATGGCTTGTAGTCTTCGGTAAGGGGTAGCCAAGTAGATCCGATATTAACACTGCGAGCTAGACCCCAACTTTGACTTTAACCGGCTTATTATCCAACCCGCGCCACACGTGTTGTTACCTACGTCTCTCTCTAACGACTGGTTGAAATAAAGTGCCGAGAGGAACATTAAGAAGATATCAGCGGAGAAATACAGGCTGCAGCTTGGTAGCGAAAGGATTGATTCGGCATTCGACTGAGTAGGCATGATATGTATAATCTTATGACACGATTACAATCATGTAGGAGACATGCGGAAGGGTAATAAGAAGCCTTATGACTGCCTCCAAGACAATGTACCTCTTTTCAGCTTCAAGCTTCCTTAAAGAGAAGATCTGGATTCGGCTGACGTTGAAGTTACGGCAGCACTTGTGCTTCTCGGCAATTAATCTACGCCCGAATGAACTACCGAACACTCTGATGACTGCATGTTAATATTGCTGCCTTGCTTGTAGAGTTACTCCTCCCACAGGAAATAACTCATCACCAGTCTTTACGCCAGGCTGCCTTGCCGAGCGCTCTACTTGAGACATGGACAAATACCGTACCGCTTAAGCAGGGGTGGGTGGCCAGCCATTGTCAGCTTCTACATCAAACTTCCATAGTCCCGAATGTCAAGCTTCTTATCAAGGCGCTAGACATTTGGTAATCTCCTGTAATCGTACCTGGTAACGGAGATGCTTACCGAGTGTTTGAGGGCTACCTATCTGGAAGACCCTCTTGTTGCAGACTTCACGCGAGAAATGTTGCCCACCTGCATGTTAAAGAAACGGTGTTATGTTTAATCATTTTCTGATACTTTCTAAGCAAATGCCACGAACTAAGCACTAACTACCACATGAGGTGTCTGTCACAGAGCTATTCCTCAAGTATAGTATCAAGGTACGATCGCAGAGGGTGGGAACCCTAGGCGACTCTCCTACTAGTCAATCTTGATCGAACGGACTATTTAAGAATGTGACCGAGTTAGGTATGATATTTTAATGCGGATCAACGAGACAAGAAAGGGGCAAGAAAGAGGGATTTGCCGAGGGGTGATGGGCTTGTGACCGTGATATCTAATTTGATGCACTAAAACTCCAGCCAGCCACTGGGAGGGATGGGTAATCAATCAAAACCACTCAATGCTACTGCCGCTGTCCATGCGAAGACGATAGAAAATGCCGAGATATAGCTTCATCGATACAGGGCCGCGCAATGAGGCGCACCATTAGAAACCAACCCACCTCTACACAAATTGTAAGTGACTTATTGCACGTGACCACCACCAGTAAAGACCAAGCTCACTTCCCATAGTTGGAAGGTGAATAGGCGTCAAGAAGGTCGCGACCGAAGCAATTTAGAGCGCAAGAAAGTAAAGAAATAGGTGACTCCCAGAAATAGACATGGTTAGGAGCAGGACCAAGTGTAGTAATCAGGATATATTATAGATTGAAAGCAGTCATCAATTCTCAGGGATATGTGGTTCACGAGAGGTAAGAAAGGGGCACTATTGCCCCATCATCAAATTTCCTTCAATGACACAATGAACAGTCTGGATATAGAATGTTAATTCGAACTTCAGAATGCCTTTTGCATGTGGTCCTCGATATTGAGGAGTATTTTATAGATGAAGAAAGCCGGCTCAGGGAGCCATAGACCCTCACTTAAATCTCACAAAAACTGAAACATCATCGCTCTACCTCTGTGAACTTGTCTAACTACCGACACTGGTGCATTCCAAGATAAGTAGCGTGAAGTGTCCAAGTTCATATATTGAACAGATTTTATTCAGGTAAGGCTCTCTACTGAAGTGGCCTGTGTAAGCTCAACGGGTGCGTGAGGGAAAGCAACTTGTGGCCTAAGTCAAAAAGGCCAGGGACAAATACCCGGGCAAGACTCTCAAAATAGAAAGAGATAGACAGGGCGCGGAATTCTCATCTTCATGAATTGACTCGTTTCTTTCAGTCGTAATCACAAGTTTCTCCATCTAAAAGTATGTGACTATTGGCTCTGTAGGCCGCAAGAAGTGTAAGGTAGGCCTGCCACTTGAAGGCTCGAACCCTTGGGTAGTGACCCAAAGGGGCGGTTCATATTACTATCATAAGAGGCACATCGCGGAATGAAATTTCAAATGTAGGTATGCCACACAAAATCGACGCCGTTGATGCGCGATAGCGCTCAATGGCTTATGTTTGGCTGACACACCTACTCTAGCGCGATAAGACACCTCAAGCACAATCAGACATATGACTTTCAGAGATGCTTGAAGCGTTACAAGTATTTAAGATCTAACTAGGATTGTCTTTCACTTTGGGCTACCCGGAAAACTTGCTCGCTCAATTTCGAGCCCATTTACCAACCATAACCATAAGAGCTAGAAGAGGCTAATTACGTGCACGAGATCGTCGCAATGGCCGAGCGCAGGGCTTAGAGAATGACTCAGTATGATAAAAATAGTCTATAAGTGCATGGAGACTTGATGGAATATTGAGAAAACTCTTTCAGTCTCCTGGGGGTCAATCAGTCTATATGTACGGCATGTCCTTCGGCCTTAAGCGCTTCTTTTCAGCGTTCAGCCAATGTCTCAGAAGTCGGGATTGCTGCATTCGTCTCTCACTCGAAGCCTATGCAGCAAGGCTTCATACCTACGATATGATCATATGATGAATACAAATACGGAGGGTTGCTGCAGTTCGCAGGGGCTGGCATAGGTGACCTCCTTTATTGCGTGCAGGCTCCCATAGAAGACTAGTGCACTCCTTTGCTGCAGGTTGCACGTCCGGAATCGCACAGGCAACATGATTGTAATAGACTATGCGTGCTCAAACAGCTGGATTTTGGTGCAAAACAGAGCTGTATAGTTAAAGACGGATCTCAACTATTTAAATGCGATGATGAATATGTGGAAGGTTTCTTTCCGTCAATGCATGCAGCAGTGCCAGAAGTACCTAGGTACCTTAAGGGGCAATGCCCGGCTTTCGACCTGTCACGTGATTGTGCACTGCGGATTGAGTTGCTCATAACACAAACACAAATAGAGGTATATCAACAGAAGAGATAGCAAAATATGCAAACAAAAATAGAAAAAAGATTGTAGAAACAATGCTGATCTCGGCCGGGATCGAACCGACAATCTCCTGATTGCCCGCCATTTTGTAGATGGTCGAGTCGTAGTCAGACGCCTTGCCATTGGGCCACGAGACCATTGCTTAGTAGTGTTTGGTCTGTGATTGTTGGATTACGATCAGGATAACTTGTACCAAGAAGAGCAAGCTAGCAGAGTTTTTTCAAGACCGGAATGTCTTAGCTTAGCTAACTAGGTGGTGTGTATCCCGGGCTTCTGGAACATGACTCGTTCGGGTATCCAGAAAATTGGAGCTGAGAGGGTCACCAAATCCACTGACAAAAGAGGAAAAAGCAATTTGGGCATGCACTGTGCGCTGTTATCGAACACTTCGCAGAGTTGCCGAGCTGCATCAACACGCCTCAAATTTTGATAGTCGCAATAACAATACAAATCTCTAGACCCTCACGTGCTCGTAATAACGAAGTGTATACTGCCCTTGATCCGTAACTCTCTTCGTCAGCCACCTCAGGCGCGAGAATTGGCTTGTTACCCCAAAACAGCCACTACTCATTATCTCAACATGTCACTAAAGGCCGAATTTATTATTGTAAGCAGATAATAGCTCGCGAATAGAATCAAGTGGCGGCAATGATCAAATGATTTGGTGATTGTATTAATGCTTAACTACGGGTATAGATAGATTATGGTCGACGCCATTGCAGGAAAGCCAGCAATAATCTTTTTGACCTACAAAAAACAACGCGCTGAAATCCTCAGTCAGCAGTTATATGCTGTAAGCTCCATAGCATGTGATGAGTATCTTATAGCTGTGCTTTGTTGTCGCTCGTCTTTTTCGTGCAGAATGCACTAAAGTACGCGTTCAGCGCGTCGATAGTCCCACCACCCTCCACCAAGCTAGTAACAATGCCCACGTAACCGTCAGGCCTCACTACAACCACGCCGCCCTTTTCCTCGTCAAGTCCCATTTTGGCATGGGCCGCCGCTGTCGCGTTGGGAACCCGACGATCCCATCTATCATCTGCATAGACAAGGTCTCGGTACCTACTAAGTAGCCCTGGGAGATCCCGCGAGATCTCGATCTCACTCCGCGTGGCGGCGAATATCGTACAAATGGTGAAGAATAGACTGTGCGGGTTGTATCTCTCATGGTGCGAGACGGTATCGACATCTGCACGTAGGTACGATCCGAAGAACGACCGCTTCCCGCCTAGCTGGAAAGCGAGATCTTTCAAAGCCTTAGATGTTGTTGAGGGTTTGCCAGCAAAGATATAGATGCGGAATGATCCGTTCCAAGGGATCTCTTGTTCTAGGTGGACGATGTTGGCATCGACTACTCTTGTGACATCGGCGTTGGCCATGAGACGTCCAGTTCGCAGCTTGGTCCCCTTGGGATGAATCAGACGAGATTGAGCCGGATGGCTGGGCGACCAATTGAGCGCATTAGGCCCGTACGCCACTCCATAGCCACTTGTGAACTCGCATCCCTCTTTGAAAGTTTTTATAAATTCGTTGTCTTCTGAGTGGCCGTTCGTATGCCTCGAAGCTGCCTGAACCTCTGTAGCAGCCGGCGGTCGCTCCGAGAACAGCTTGGCATACTTGTTGTCGAAAGCGAGGAGGTTTTCTGCTACTTCCTTCCGCTCAGGCTCATAGGTTTTTAGAAGTGATCGCTCGGCGAATCCTGCCTCTACTGCGTGGATCTTCCAAGCCAGATTCTGCGCATCCAAGAATGCTGTATTCATACCTTGGCCAGCTTTAGGCTGCAAAGTCGTCAGTAGCTGCTCCTTATCGGTCCTCTATACCGAGAATGAAAGATGACAATAACGACATGACATATAGTAGAGGGCACAGTTTTAAAGGGAAAAGTAAGGAGTGGCTTACGCTGTGTGTGTGGCATGCGTCTCCTCCTAGGAACACCCGGTGATCAAGAGTGTATTTATCCGAGATGCCCTGGCCGATTGGATAGACAGAATACCACTTTAACTTCTCCCATTCAATTGAATACGGTTGAAGTATCCTCTTTGCCGAGGCCTGTACTTCTTCAGGCGTCGCCGTCTTACGTGGGTTCCAGTCCGGATCTGTAGAAGACGCTAGCTGGATGTATAGCCGAACCATGTCGTTTTCGCGAGGAATCACCATAATCGACCCGTGCTCTGAATGTATCGTGCATTTCATCTGATTGGTCAAGTTAGCGCCAAATCTACCTTACCAAACGAGGATGTACAAACCCTAATATCGGGGAAATCCGTCTCAACCACGCCGTCCATGACACCCCATACGTGAGCTATGGGATCCTTATGTGTGATGCCAATGCCTAGTTGCTCTCGAACGAAAGACCGGGCGCCCTCGCCGCCAAAGAGATATTTGGCGCGAACTGTTTCTCTGCTCGTTCCATCTATATGCTCTAGGCTGACTTGAACCGGATATTCAGCGTTCTCTTTCTCATCAGACTTGAAACCGGTAATACGCCACGGCCGCTGGATTTTGACGCCGTTCTTTTCCAGGTCTGAGATGAAGACGCGCTCGATGAGGCCTTGGTGTAAGAGAGTCGTGAAAGGATATCTCGCATCGATGAACGCGGGGCAACTAGCCCAGGTGCCCGTTCGTACGACGCCTTTGCCTGACTCACCCGGATCCCAGAAGGCTACTTCGTACACTCTCGCGGGCTTATGCTTCATGATGGCCGACTTCAACCCCATATTCCTCAATAAATCCAGGGATCGGGGCTGGATGCCGTCGGCGCGCCCTGTGGGTGTTGGCTCAGACCGGTTATCAACATGTTTGATCCTATAGCCGAGTCTTGATAGACATGTCGACAACATGAGGCCCACAGGCCCTGCCCCCACGATTACTGAGAAAGAGTCAGCTTTGATTCATGCGAGACGATGTGTCTGGTTTACCTATGTCATAATATGGGGTATCTGAATTCGACGGACGATCCTCCATCGTGGAATGAGCACTGTCTATATACGTAGGACCAGCGAGGTGAATGAGGGGTCAGCCACAGCATGTGAATGCGAATAAGGATCGCAACCCGATGAAGCTTAAATCTTAATTCAAAAGAGAAGTGAGATAAAGACAGTCGATTATCATTATGAAATGTTTCAATTAAATAGATAACAAAGCGACATTAGAAGGGGAGGTTATGAGATATTTATTAGAAGGCATTTGACATTTGAGAGGAATTCGGATGCCCGGACCCGAGACGTCGGCGATTCATAGCGTTGATTACACAAAGAGCTAATATTACAGTATTACAGATGATGGGAATCCCACGGCACAGAGAATCGGGAAGTGCATCTCAGCATCCCCACAGGAAGGATGGCGTGCGACGAGGCCGTTGGTTGGCTGACATGATGCCAGCTGGGGGGGCTGGAGTTGACATTATAGTTGCAGCGGGTGGAAGCAACGGCGCACGCGGGACCGGACTGAGTCCATTGCGCGGATACTAATGAGTTGTCAGCTAGAAGAAAACGGTTGACGCCATGAGAGGGGGAAAGTGAGATGAGGACAAGAGAGAGGAACGGGATGTCATCACGGTAGTGAATAGCGGGGCCGTGGCGTCGGGGAACCCTATCATTCTGCGGTAAGCTGTCGCCACGGCTGTAGTCTTCGGGAAAGAAAGAACTGGGGGTGCACGCGTTTTAGCGTACCATAGGTGATAAGGTTAGGCGAGAAGTGGCCCGAGGGAAGCCGAGAAAATACACCAAGGTCCCAATTTGGTACCCCGCAACCACTGCTTATACTGCTTATACGTACTCCGTACTTCGTGATAAATCATATTTTCAGTAACTTCATCACTGTCGCATTCAGCGTTTTTCAATTAACGATAATGAGAACATAGGGAAAGTAGCTATCATTTACTTAAATAGGCATCTTAAGAGGCGGCTCATGATTTCTGGTTTCACAGGCACTTCGCCACATTGATCAGTGCAATACCTACACATAAAGCTCCGGACTCATATTTGAGCTTGTAAGGGTGCTTATCTACATCCTCAAACTCATATCACATGGCATATTTGCGCTTGACACGAGAAAGCGCGGCTTTTGGTCTAAATAATAGAAAGTGTATATGGCATCGCTTAAGCTAGCATCTGCATGTCACACAAGCCCTTCTCAGCAGGCTCACCAAATCTCATAATCGCATCATAGCTACGTGTTAGGTACACCTATTTTATACGCTAGCTTATTCTCTCTTCCTCTGGCGCTCAGTAGCACTTAGCATTAATCTTCCAACAAGCTCCTATCTGTTACAGTGAAGTGAATAGTGTGAGAGAAGTGAAAATAGAGTTCATTACTTTAGCCGGTAAATGGCTAGGTCAGCGCGCATATTCAGCTCGCTGGAGTCTTTAATTACCATTTTCAGTAAAGTTTCAGCTCTGAAGACATGTTGCGGGAGTCTGTTTCGGGAGCTGAGATACTTCCAAAATAGGGAATTATTGACTCCAGCGGGGAGGGTGGGGATAAGTACGAGGAGAGCGGGGGACCAGAGACAACACAGAACTACGGCGATGGTTTGTTCAATCGGATTATACTACGTCCCTATTTGATCAAGATATTCGTCGATAATTAAGCCTAAAGTCCCTGGGAGATTTAGACTCATCCTAACTCCTGGGGAGTCAAGGGTATCTTGGGTGCGCCCTCAATTGACTCACTTTAATGCCCTCCCCGTCGCAATGTTCATCGGTCCTGCACTTTACCCTTTTCATCTTCTCCGCAACCTCTGCTAATATCTACGAAGGGCATGGCGTAGTTTGACATTTGCTTTGAAGAAGGTTCTCGATCTTGATGGTTGACAGGTAGTTGTTGTGGTGTTCTTCACAGGAACTTATGGGAAGCATCAGGAGTCCAATGATATTCTGCATAAGAGCCGCAGAAGCGCCCAAATTGATACCTTCTACTTTTGATCATGTTGCCTTTCACTGCTACAGTTGCACTCCGCGACAAAATTGGGTTAGAGAAGAAATACAACACATAACCGTCCTACGGGAGGCGGAGGCAGCCTTTTTTTCAGTGGAAACCAACGCCACATTTCATCGATACTGACTCCTGGTCCATATGATGGTTAGAGTACGCTTGTATTGCTCAAGAAACCATGTGGTGCTGGTGTTCTTTTACG